ACCTCAAGCGTTCCTGGACATCAGGGTTAAGTGCCAGGTAGTAGGCTGTCATCGAGAGGGTATTGCTCGAGGTTTCATGACCAGCCAGCAAAAACGTGATTGACTGGGCTGTTATCTCTGCGTCATGTAGCTTTGGGCTTCCATCGGGATTTTTAGCAGATAGCATGATGTCCACCAAATCTCTAGCGCGATGAATACCTTGATCTTTTCTAGTTTTCAAAACGCCTTCCGCAACACTTTTGAAAAAATTTTGTGTACCACGCCACATCTGTAGGATTCCTACTAACAGCTTATTGAAAGGGACTGCCAACAGAACACGAACTAAAGTAATACCTTTGAAGACCTCGCGAGATTTAGCCAAGAACTCGTTATTTGCACTCTCGGTTTGTATTGGTGATTCAACTCCAAATGCTGTGGAAAGGATGACTTCTAGAGTCATGAGGCTGAACCAAGAGAACATATTCACACTTTTTCCTGGTAAAAAAAAATAGTTTAATATTATTTATAGAAAAAGAAATACGAAAGGATTTATCATTTTTTACTATTATTTGTGAGGAAGTATTTTGTCATCGATAGTTTATTGTTTTTAGACATTTCCAGGCTTAAGGTGGAATTCATTTTCAGGACTTGGTAAAACATTTCCAAGTAATTAGAGAATGTCTACTTACCAGTATCAGCAATTTCCTGAACTTTGCTCACCAATGTATCACAAGACTTCTCCATTGGGGGTATCATCAATTTTAACTTTCCAGTCGTAAAGGTTGGAGTCAACACCGAGCGAACTCGTCTCCAGTCATCGTCGACCAGTTGCAGCAGGCCCTTGGTCCTGGTCGCTACTATATCAACATGACGGTTGGTAAAGTTATGGAAATCTTTAATCATGATCTGTTTCAATATTTCTGGGTCGGCAATGACAATCGAAGCCTTCCGTCCAGTGCACAAGCTGAATACTTTACCATATTTCTTCATGTATTCTAACATRCAACGATGAATTCCACCGTATTTGGTCATGTCACGTAGATTACCAATGTATGGTAATGGTTTAGCTCCAGGGATATTCATGCCATTGAAAACCCARTAGTTGTACATTCCAACACAGTAGAAGAAAGCAACTACAACCAACAGTACAACGAGAACAGCCAAAGGATTTGACAAGACGTCTAAAAGATGGGCKTCCATCATTGTATTTCCTTGTCAATAAGAAAAGAAAAACGCTGGACATAAGTCATCAATATCATTATACTAAAAAACTATAATCCTTTTTAAAATTATGTGAAACTGAMTGTCTATGGCGTTRTTTCAGGRGCTTGTGCAAAGGGGAAATCTCGCAWATTCGCTTAACATGCGGACGTCCGAAGCTTTTGCGATCCAAAAACTACAATTGTTTTGGTGATCTGATACTGAACTGTGCAAATGAATGCAATGTACTCCATGTATAGCTATTTCAAAAACCCGTTGATACATTTGGAAATACAACATCTCGTATTCTTTGTTTTTCACTATACGTCACAGCGGCCATCTTGGACGAACTTCAAAAAGGATTTCTCATTAGTTTCTATTGTTCATTCCTCCAACATTACCACTGGTCTTTTATCATTTGAATCTCATGGGAATAATTGAAAACGATTTATAAGAAAGCGTCCAGCTGTATTAGTATTTAGTATTCAACGTTTTCTGGAACGTTGTCATAGAGAAACAGCTCAATTTTGAAATATTTTAAAATCACAAAAGAAGATCACTCATGCTGAACGCTTTCTATTGTCTATTTGATTTATTATTTTTCCACCCTTTTTTACTTTTAAAGGATGGTAAAACGAGGAAGTGGCAATAGCGCACGTCCAACTTGTCTCGCAGCATTTCTGCAGAACAAGTTGGAAAGCGATGCTGCGCGTTTTGCTACCAGCAAATCAACTTGTCTCAAAGCTTAATAATTTGCTGCAAGTTGAGTGAATCCTGATTTCTGATTGGCCAATGAATCAGATTGTCTTGCGATGTCATTTTGATGAATCAGATTGTCTTGCGATGTCATTTTGCTGCGAGAAAAGTTGGGTTGTTGTCAGTAATACGCGCAACATCGACGGATTTTGCAGGAGAACTGAGTAGAACGATCTTCTACTTTCTACAACAAAATTTTTCATCTTGCAATAAATTGATTTATGTCTTTTTGGAGCGGGAAATTACTATAGCACTGATAATATTTTTTTAATAAGCAGCTACATACAAACAAGAAGAGGTTACGAAACACTAAACTACACTACACTTCAGTGCGCTGAATAACAAAGATTGCAAATATTCACGGCAAATTACTAGCACTCATATTATCATGAATCGATAATATGTATTAGCGTGATCAACGCTGGATAAAAATCAATTCACTCTGTTATAAATGACTTTTAAAATAGCTGATCCTAGAACAATGACCCCTTTGTATTTAAAGATTATTTATGACGTAGCAACGCTTGTTAAGTGACTCATCAAGGATGCCTACATCAAGMTTTGTTAATTGACAGCTTTTTTACTCTATTCTAAAACAACTGCCTTGGTATTTTTGCTATTATAAGTCACTAGTTTATTCAACTAYAATGATTCACTACACTAGGGCAAAGTTGACCCCGCAATGAAAATGCACTTTCACCTGAGGTCGACCTTTGGTTATGTGTTTTGTTTCTAATGTAGTTTGAGTTTAAGCTACGAAAGGTCATATGCCGTTTCATGTAATCCCCACCAAAATGAAAAACTGAAAGCAGGGCAAGAATACTCAATACTATAAATAGTGTGTGTAAAACTGGCGTGTRATATGCAATGTAGAGGCAGTGGAAATGTAAGTACGTCGAGAATTAGTCAATGGCAAAACATACACAAACACCTTAAATAAATAGACGCTCCAGAGATGTCGAGAAACTTCTTAAACCTGGATGGGGTAAATGTACTTGCAATCACACATCTGTTATGACCTGTCATGTTTCTTACCTGAAGAGAAAGTAGCAAGAACAACCAAAGACAGACAGTACCAACGACGACCAGCATTGAGAGAATACGGTACGACTTCAAGTGGAGTCTTTCGTACGACTTCCATATATGGATGTCCAATTGCCTGGCTCTTATAGTACCTTTACGTGGTTATAGACATCTGAAGCTTTTACGTCACCCAAGTGATTTGCAATGCATTTTGGGATCAATTTCTGGAGAKCAAAAGGAATCCACCATGTTGCCCAACCATATCTAARCAYATCCTACAATGCATTAAGTAAATGGTTTATGGCGTGAAATCTTTAGAGGTCAATTCGTGAAATGATCTCATTTGAAATAATTGGTCAGGCAATGCATACCGTGGGTTCGAATCTTCATGATCGCCTCCTTAATTAAAACACTTTTTTTCAGTTTAAGTTTAAGTCTTCGAAAATTTTTGCTGATGTACACGTGAAAGGCTCCCAACACCGTGTACATGTACAACCATATATGGAAGTYACATGACAGATCCTATTAGATACGGCGAATGGTGTTTTTTATTATCGAAATTCGTAGCGGGGCAGTACCCACAAAGATTTAGCCCGCCACGCAGGCTAACAAAGATTGTATGTCAAATGGAATCGCGCTGCATATTTTGGGCTGGAAAAAAATTCAATTGCTATTCCACCATTATAACCAAAATTGACTAGGGTTAATGGTCCATTTGCTCATCAATAAAAACAAAAACGAAAATATCAAAACAAAACAAACGCTACAAGCAAAATCGGTAGGTAAAAAAAAAGGAAAGAGAAAAAGAAAAAAAGAAAGAAAAAAAAGAAAGGAAAATCGGATAGATTCGATGACTTTCCAGACAACCCACTTATGCTGGAAGATATATAAAAGGCCTGCAGGTGTAATCTGTGTTGACATAAACCAGACCCAATTTCAATCAGTTACAGTGCAAGATGTTTTTGCAAGTACTCGTCAGTCATGTTTTTGTTACAATAGTTTATGTGGCTTTATCTTCTTGGTTGTAGCTTAACTGAGAACCTATAGATAGTAGTAAGTACTTTATTTATAGATCTATAATTCTTGCTTTGCACAATATCTGAAAACCATCAGTCACAAAATATTTTTTTCTAAATGACTAATGTTGAGACAACATTTGCTGTGGTTGATCTCATTTTCAATCCGTTTTGAAGGAAGATTGATCCTATATCTTGGTTACTTGTGAATATATTTGCCGGCGTCGTTTTTGCCTGTCGACAGGTTTAGTAATATCCTGCAAGGTTGACTTTTATTAATAGGTAAAGCTTTGTTTACTTATAATCTAGAACTGTTTGTTGCTGTATTTAATGATCCGTTTCGCTTTCTTTGAAGGAACTGAAGAATAATGAGGAAAATCCTAAAACACTGAAATGATACTTACTTATTGGCTCTCATTGCGCACTGACCGAGCTTGTTTATCATTTATCTACAGACAAGTGACTTGATCTTATGGGACATTCCCAACTGGTTGTATTGCTCTGCGCATGCTTAGTGGCAGTTTCTAAATGCGAAGATAAGCATTTTGTAGTTGTAGAGAGACATCCAGGATATCGATTCAATGGTCACACAATGCGCAAAATGACTGCAACAGATATTTGGTCTTGTGTCGCACAATGTCGAAAGGTGTCAGGCTGTCTGTCTTTAAATGTTTACATCGACAGCAACATTTTGGTGCATTGTGAACTGAACAAGTCCAGCCGACAAGCTGACTCGGTAAACTTTGTTTACAGCAGTATACCGGAAAAGCAACATTACTTAGAATTGGTGAGATTTTAACTTTATTTAGGACTATGATGAATGATTCTATATAGAGATAGCACACATTAGTATTACCATACTAGTGGACTATTGCAAATCCTTCRTTCTGATTGGCTACGCTACTCGKGGTCTAYTTTCAATARTCCTCGRCTAGCGAAAAGTGGCAACTTTTTGCGTATATTTRRCAATAAAGACACTTAGTTATTTATATATTTCATTCATTTTTTGTATGTTCATTTGTTTCTAGTATGGTAATACTAAACCAATTAGATCTCTCGGCCTCGTGGCCCGGCCTCGTGGACTACGAGCTGATAGTCCACTCGCCCTCGAGATCTAATTGTTAAATATCATCTGTTAGTGGAAACAGAGCATCATGGGAATGACAACATAGGAGGGAAAAGCGCACTTTCGTCCTTTTTGCCTGATAGAGAGGCCAGAGGTCCAGTCGAAACCCCGTCCATCAAGCAATAATAAAAAGTAGGTAGGAATAATACAAACTTGCAGCTAACTGTGCATGTTTTCAATTCAGTCAGATGGATGGTATCGATATAAGTCCTTCGCCTATAATTACTTCAAGGAAAATGTCGACGTTGAAACTGCGCGTCAGCGGTGTCTTGATATGTCAGCAGATTTAGTTTCCATTAGCAACGAGGAGGAACAAAATGTCGTCATGAGTCTCCTAAAAGGTAGTTATAATGACTGAAACTCCTTCTGCTTTGGCGTATGCTCATTTTCTTCTCCTTAGCTTCCTCTTATATTCAACTATTGAAATATTCTTCTCACCAACCACAAAACACCTTTTTAAGGGAATAATGAAGCCAGCAATTACTGGATAGGTCTTAACGATCGGCACCAAGAAGGCAAGTATGTGTGGTTTGATGGCTCCAATTCGTCCTATAGACACTGGTTTAAAGGTCGACCGTCTAAGCGCCATAGCAAGCGGAGGGATTGCGTACGAATTAAAATCAATTCATTCTGGTATGACGATAGATGTCATAAAAGAAGGCCTTTCATTTGTAAGAAATCTTATAAATAAACCAATAAATTCGGGCATTTGAAAACATGGAAAACGTATGTTCTTGATCGATTTCAGTGGAGATTGATTGCTGGGTCGTTTGTTTGGTTGGTTGGACGGTAAAGTGTAGCCTCCTTAGCAAACAACTCTACTCTAGCTGCTGGAGGCGGAGTGGGTTAGGAAGGAAGGAAAAGAAGGTGGAGTCTGGCTACGTGGGCGCTTGGTTGGTTTGTTGGGTGGGTGGTAGTTGGGTGCGGTTGGGATTAACTGATCCCAACTTGACACTATCAGTGATAAAACACGAAAACTGCCCTTCCAAGTGATAGTTTGGTACGATTTGTTTCGCTGATGTTTACTTTTTTGTGATATAAAGAAAAGTATGTAGTGAACAGGCCCGTAGGCTGGTTGGTTCGGACGAACTCCCCTACAAGCTTTTAAGCTTGTAAAAAAAAAAAAAGGTCTGGTGTTTCTCTTAGTTTTATAGTTCTATTTTAAAATTCTTTTGTTATGAACTGCTYATTCTAGAAGCCAATTCGTTCACACTATCATGTCCATTGATTATACATAAAATGTATTTGGGATCCCTGTGTTCGACCATCTCTGTTTACTTCTTTTGTTTTTATTGTCCAATCACAGACGTTGTTAGAATTGATCAGCGTGCTTTTTAGCTTGACACAGCTGATTTTCAGTAGAAGTAACGAAATTCCGCGAAATTCTGCATTGTATTTGCGAGGATGTCGAATAGGTTGATTACAGACACTTTCCCGAAGGTTAGGAAACAACGAATTATAAAAAAAGATGTACAAATCCCAGTGGAAAAGCAGAAAAAGACCCAAGGTAAATCAGTCAAGAGTTGACGTGTTTACAGCGAGATGCACATGTTATTTTCAGTTATTTGAAGCTTTGTTTATACACTATTTAGATACATTATCAGTAAGCCAAAAAGACGAACAAGATCTTCAGTCGCTTAGAGAATTCGATATGAATTCGGACTTCGGGCCATGTATCGGTACGTGATCACAGTAGTTGTTGCACTAGCAAAATTGCAATACTTGTAAATCAAATGCATCCTTGTGTTTTGTTATGTAACATCAGCATTTTTGATTTAAGGTATTTCAAGGTTAGAACGCTGGGAAAGAGCTGAAAAGTTTGGGCTGCATCCTCCAACTATGGTCAAGGACATCATTTYAAAGAATTCAAATGATGAGTCTTATACAGAATGGTATAGTTAAATATAGTAAACCCCCCTCATTGTATGTGACTGACCCACGCGTATAGCTATCCATAATGGGCTTTCCTCTGATAYCATCATTGCTTTAACAAAGTGCATTATGGTCATTGGAAAGACCTGAAACATTATATCATGCTAAAAAAACAATTTTATAGCCAGGATCATTTCGTCAGTCCCACATGCACCATAATATGCCATATTTGGGAGTAAGGACTATTTGCAAGAGATATTGCAATAAGTCACTGAACGTGTTAGAAGATCAGTGCTCATATAATTTATGACATTTTCTTTCATAGTATCTGGAAAGRTGAGAAATTATAGCAAGATACAATACAACTTAATGCAGCTGCAACTACTCGAGTTTGTACACCATCAAACCTGCAGTAGATATTGTTTGGTTCCCTTTTTACTATCATTAAAAATTCCAGTTATATTTCATGTTGACATTGGAAGTAAATATGGTAATTCAGTCATAGACAATGGACAAGGAAATAAAGGATAATATGGTAAAAAGWTTATATACAAGGAAAAATTGATATCATACATGTATAAGATAACAAAAGACAAGGTAAAAGCAAAAAATAGAAATTATATTTACCCAAGGCCAGTTCTTGCTTTTTGTCTTGTACTAGCTATAATACTGTTAATATTCTTTTGAGCAGAGCTTACTGTCAACCAAAAATCCTGACATAAATCAGTCCAATATATTGGTCATATATAGTCCCAGAAAAGCTGCTTGAACTCAAGCTCTTTCAATTCTTTTGTGTCATTTTGTAGAAAAGCCATATTTTGAACAGCARTTTTTATGATTATTAGTCAGATTTCATATCACAGCATTGAGATTCCCAGTTACATAGAGTACAAACACTAAATATGTGCAACTGCTAAATAGTACTAACTAAAAAATAGAAAACAGAAGAATTTAGCACTGATTTAGTGGTATTTATTTTGCACACTTTTAGTGTTTGTACTCTATAATTTAGACTATTCCAGGAGAGTTGACAGGCCTGCTAAAGGTATTTGCAATCAATAAAAATAATTTATGTTTTATATTGTTTTAATAATGATTGTTATTTCTYATAAAATAAGGTCACACAGTAATTACAACATTGTAAAATGTATTGATTGTATTTACCTCAATAAAGCTAGCAGAYATGAATATAATTATATATTTTTATTTACAAAATAATGTGAAAGTACTTTCATGTAGAATACAAATTATGGTTTTAAAA